ATCGTCTTTATAGACCACACATTTTCACTACTATATATAGTACATCGCAATGTTATAACACTTTCAACTAAAACTAAAAGTACCTCCTTAATATAGAGTCATAGAATTATAGAAATATAATCACAAGCGACTGCCAAGTAGCCAAAAACATCGTCTTTATAGACCACACATTTTCACGACTATATGTAGTACATCGTAGTGTTATAACACCGAAGTCTGAAATATAAACTAGCGAAGTGTACGGACTAAATGACTGCCGAGAAGCCAGAAACATCGTCTTTATAGACCACACATTTTCACGACTATATGTAGTACATCGTAGTGTTATAACACCGAAGTCTGAAATATAAACTAGCGAAGTGTACGGACTAAATGACTGCCGAGTAGCCAGAAACATCGTCTTTATAGACCACACATTTTCACTACTATATATAGTACATCGCAATGTTATAACACTTTCAACTAAAACTAAAAGTACCTCCTTAATATAGAATCATAGAATTATAGAAATATAATCACAAGCGACTGCCAAGTAGCCAAAAACATCGTCTTTATAGACCACACATTTTCACGACTATATATAGTACATCGTTGTGTAATAACACCGAAGTCCGAAATATAAACTAGCGAAGTGTACGGACTAAATGACTGCCGAGTAGCCAGAAACATCGTCTTTATAGACCACACATTTTCACTACTATATATAGTACATCGCAATGTTATAACACTTTCAACTAAAACTAAAAGTACCTCCTTAATATAGAATCATAGAATTATAGAAAAATAAACACAAGCGACTGCCGAGTAGCCAAAAACATCGTCTTTATAGACCACACATTTTCACGACTATATATAGTACATCGTAGTTTTATAACACTTTAAACTAAAACTAAAAGTACCTCCTTAATATAGAGTCATAGAATTATAGAAATATAATCACAAGCGACTGCCAAGTAGCCAAAAACATCGTCTTTATAGACCACACATTTTCACGACTATATGTAGTACATCGTAGTGTTATAACACCGAAGTCTGAAATATAAACTAGCGAAGTGTACGGACTAAATGACTGCCGAGAAGCCAGAAACATCGTCTTTATAGACCACACATTTTCACGACTATATGTAGTACATCGTAGTGTTATAACACCGAAGTCTGAAATATAAACTAGCGAAGTGTACGGACTAAATGACTGCCGAGTAGCCAGAAACATCGTCTTTATAGACCACACATTTTCACTACTATATATAGTACATCGCAATGTTATAACACTTTCAACTAAAACTAAAAGTACCTCCTTAATATAGAATCATAGAATTATAGAAATATAATCACAAGCGACTGCCAAGTAGCCAAAAACATCGTCTTTATAGACCACACATTTTCACGACTATATATAGTACATCGTTGTGTAATAACCCCGAAGTCCGAAATATAAACTAGCGAAGTGTACGGACTAAATGACTGCCGAGTAGCCAGAAACATCGTCTTTATAGACCACACATTTTCCCTACTATATATAGTACATCGCAATGTTATAACACTTTCAACTAAAACTAAAAGTACCTCCTTAATATAGAATCATAGATTTATAGAAATATAATCACAAGCGACTGCCAAGTAGCCAAAAACATCGCCTTTATAGACCACACATTTTCACGACTATATATAGTACATCGTTGTGTAATAACACCGAAGTCCGAAATATAAACTAGCGAAGTGTACGGACTCAAAGACCGTCGAGCAGCCAGGAAGTCGTAACACAGGAACGTTTTAGTGTTCATAGTAATATAGTATATTATCAAATAAACGACCGAAGTGACAGTTCGTTATCAAGCGAGCAAGCAACGTGCACAGACGTGACTTCATTAAGAAGAAACTTGCGTTTCAAAAATACTTCGGTCTTAATAAAGAGAAGTTTATATAGTCATAAATTAATATAGAACATTTCATAATGTTCAACAACATCCTAACAATCGCAGAAATGCCAAACGCTTTAAATACCGTAATGCCCGACATAAACTTGTATCTACTCATTTCGATATTCATCGGAATTATAAGTGGTGTGAAACAATTGTACAATCAATACCATGTGGTATTGGCCGCTAGAAACTATAAGAATTGGATAAAACTAATTTTGATAGTCCTTGAAATTACAAGTAATGTGGCACATTTGTACAATCTATACCATGGGGTATTGGCCGATGGAAACTATGAGGATTTTATTCAACTCATTTCGATAGTCATTGGAATAGTAAGTGGTATGGAACAATTGTACGATCAATACCATGTGGTATTGGCCGATGGAAACTATGAGGATTGGCTTCGAGTCATTTTGATTGTAATTGAACTTAAAAGTGGTGTGGAACAATTGTACGAACAGTACCGTATATGTGCTTATGGCCGAATAACTAATATGTAGAGACAATATGTGGAGAGTATTGTCCATGTTTAACAAATGTGTGCATTTTTTTTCTCCCAAATGAGGAGTGGAAAGTGCGATGACAAAAATATACTAAATTCTGTTTAATTATAAACCAGCGAAGTGTACGGACTTTTTTTTTTTAAAGGTATACAAACTCAAGAGGAATCTTGTATTACATTTAATATAACCATAAACAAAAACTGAGTTTTTTTTAAAATATTTTTTGGTTACAGAATAACCTACTTACGTGGAACCCTGTTTAAAATGTTCAATATAATTAGGTATTGTGGTTGAACATTTTGTAAACTACAAAATCATTTTTCAACTAAATTAAATTATAAATAAATTAAAATGTTGCACCTATCTTTTAAAATACTTAGGTACTTAATGAGTAAAAAAATATTAGTTATAATTTTATTACAAACTATGTTAAATAATTATTTATATGATAACTAAATAGTACTTAAATATATGACTTTTCATTAGTTATGTATCTTGTAGTTGTGTCCTATTGGATACACAGGAATCATCTTTACATGGGGGTGGACGGTTCGATTCATCAAATGGTCAATTTAAATTTTGCATTTTTCTTCGGTTGTTATAACTCATTCCGCGGTCCTAACAGGACCGCTCGGCGGCAAAATGATTCATTACTAAATAAATTAACCAGAAAAAGAAAAAAGTGCATTTGGGTGTTCGATGAATCGCTGAAACTTGGACGCGGTTGACAGCCACACATTAATGTGTCCTACTGGACGATCGCGGATTTAGCAGTGTTGGCTACGGACGAAATAATTTCAATCTCTGCCTAATATGTACAATAACTCTGACCGAATCGCCAATTCAGTATCAGACGAAAAACCACCGAGCACAGACGTGACTTGATTAATAAGAAACTCGCCATCGAACGCAACACCGAACTATAAGTAAAAGTACCTCCTTGATATAGAATTATAGAAATATAATCACAAGCGACTGCCAAGTAGCCAAAAACATCGTCTTTATAGACCACACATTTTCACGACTATATATAGTACATCGTTGTGTAATAACACCGAAGTCCGAAATATAAACTAGCGAAGTGTACGGACTAAATGACTGCAGAGTAGCCAGAAACATCGTCTTTATAGACCACACATTTTCACTACTATATATAGTACATCGCAATGTTATAACACTTTCAACTAAAACTAAAAGTACCTACTTAATATAGAATCATAGAATTATAGAAATATAATCACAAGCGACTGCCGAGTAGCCAAAAACATCGTCTTTATAGACCACACATTTTCACTACTATATATAGTACATCGCAATGTTATAACACTTTCAACTAAAACTAAAAGTACCTCCTTAATATAGAATCATAGAATTATAGAAATATAATCACAAGCGACTGCCGAGTAGCCAAAAACATCGTCTTTATAGACCACACATTTTCACTACTATATATAGTACATCGCAATGTTATAACACTTTCAACTAAAACTAAAAGTACCTCCTTAATATAGAATCATAGAATTATAGAAATATAATCACAAGCGACTGCCGAGTAGCCAAAAACATCGTCTTTATAGACCACACATTTTCACGACTATATATAGTACATCGTAGTGTTATAACACTTTAAACTAAAACTAAAAGTACCTCCTTAATATAGAATCATAGAATTATAGAAATAAAATCACAAGCGACTGCCAAGTAGCCAAAAACATCGTCTTTATAGACCACACATTTTCACGACTATATATAGTACATCGTTGTGTAATAACACCGAAGTCCGAAATATAAACTAGCGAAGTGTACGGACTAAATGACTGCCGAGTAGCCAGAAACATCGTCTTTATAGACCACACATTTTCACTACTATATATAGTACATCGCAATGTCATAACACTTTCAACTAAAACTAAAAGTACCTCCTTAATATAGATTCATAGAATTATAGAAATATAATCACAAGCGACTGCCGAGTAATTAAAATATTACATTTCTACCTAAAATTATTTAGTGTACATTTCTTTCCATATAGAAACGTTACCGATGTCATCACAATACCAGGCCTAAAACTAATTCAGTTCCTAGTCTAAAGCACTATGGATGTAAAGCCACTATAATTATGCAGATTGAAAATGTATATTCTGATGAAATGTGAGTCATCTATAATTATTATATATAAATTGTATTCTTATTTATTATATATTAATATAAAATCTTAATACCGTGCATAATATAAATAATTTTGATTTTAAGGAGTGAAGATTCTAATATACATCAAACAAAAGCTATTGTGGTAATACGTCATATTCACAATCATAACATTTTATGTGCTGATGTACTCAAACATAGATTTCCATCTGAAGAGGCGAAGGAAACAATATTAAAATTATTTAGTGAAGGAAAAACTCCATCTTAAGCCTTATTATGTTTAAAAAAACAATTGTGCCATGAAAAAGGTAACAATTACTATATTTTTGCTGGTGACAGAGGGGAACTACCTGATCCTGCATGGGTCTACAACTTGTATTACACTACTTTTAAAAAGAATTTTGGTTCATCACATGGAGAATCAATGATGATTTCTCTTAAAGATGCCATTGAAGAATATAACCAAGAGAGCCTTTCAGTATGTTCTAGTATGGAAGTACTTGATGATGGCAATTTCGCTATAGCAATTATAACACCATTAATGAAACGTATAAGTTCAAATTTTGAAGAAAGTGGAGAAATTCTTTTTATCGATGCAACTGGAAATGTTGACCGTTTTGGTTGTAAGGTTTTTTTTATCTATACAAATAGTTGTGCTGGTGGGATGCTTGTTGGTGTTATTATTTTAACTAGTGAGGCATCGAAAATAATAAAATTAGGTTTAGAATTGTGGAAGAAGTTATTACCACCTAATGCATTAGGTAATAGAGGCATAAATGGCCCAAAAGTATTTATGTCTGATGACTCTGCCGCTGAAAGAACTGCTTTACATGAAGTATTTCCAAAAGCAACACTTCTTCTTTGTATTTTTCATGTACTTCAAGCCACCTGGAGATATTTATGGGATTCCAATCATGGTATTCCTTTAAAATTCCGTTCAATTCTTTATTCTGGAATAAAGAAAATGGTATATGCAGAAAATAATGATGAATTAAATATTAGTTTTAATAAAATATTGCAACACCCTTTAACAAACGAATTCCCGCGATTTAGAACATATGTTGAAAGATTATTTGAGAGGAAAAGTGAATGGGCAATTTGTTTAAGAGTTAATTTAATAACAAGGGGGCAAAATACTAACAACATTAGTGAAGCTGGCGTAAAAATCATGAAAGATGTTGTACTAGATCGAACAAAAGCATACTCTCCAGTTCAATTGTTCTTTTTTATTGTTCAAGACTTGGACACATTTTATAAAATGAAAATTCTTGATGTAGCAGCAAACCGCCCGCCTCAATATCTAAAAAAAAGATTTTTAATTACAAAAATACAACAAAAATCATTAAAATATGAAGCTATACAATCAAGTGACTCACTTTACTTAGTCCATAATACACTGAAAAATACCACATACAATATTGATCTAGATACTGGCTTATGTTCATGCCCACAAGGAAATACTGGTAAACCCTGTAAACATCAAATATTTGTAGCGAAAGATTTAAAAAGAGAACTTGGCCTTTGTTTACCTGTAACAGAAGAAATTAGGAACAAACTCCATGTAATAGCAACAGGATGTTCAGAGATTCAAGATGGATGGTATAGCTCCACTTTTGAGAAAATTGCAACTGACAAGTGTATTAATGTACAACATGATCACGCTGAAATTGAAAAAGAAAATGATCAAATCTTACAAAGTAATTTAATTACAGAAAATGCTTCATATGATTATAATGTCACTAAATTTAATGAGATGATTGAAAAAATTAAAAGTACATGTTTATCTGATGTTGAATATTTTTTACCTAGAATGAATAACATGGTTAAATCGTTTGATAAAACATTGCGAACAGATTCTTCTTTACTGTCACTTGTCAGCTATGATGACATTTAGGAAGTATTCTGGTGTTGAACCAAATTCTAAACGCATGAAACTTATTGGTAACAAACATATTGGAATACATCCCACAGCTTGTTCAAGACGTTCTACACAAATCGGTGGAAGAAAAAATTTAGCAGCAGGGAGAGTCCCTAAATGGAAACGTGTTACTGAACATGGGTACACACAAAAACCATCTTCAAGTAAGCTACCTAGGACAAAACTTAATATAAAATCATTCAATCCATCAGAGTTGCCATTAAAAATATCAAAAGCCCCTCATAAACTTTCTCATTGTGTCGAACAAAATAAATCATTAGGATCAAATCATTAAGCAAAATTATTATTATACTAATTATTATACTTATTATTATATATTTATTTATTATACAATTTTTAATTTTTATTTTTATTTCGAGTTCCTGTAATATATAGTATTCAATATTAAAAATTGAAAAATTAAACAATAAAACAATTGTAGTACTCTTACGAAAATAGAATATATATCAAAAAAATAACAATATATTATATACTTGCAACTTGCTACTTCATTTATTTACCTATTTCCATTTTCCATTTTTTCAATTTTGCCGTTAAATATTGTATTATACTATATTGTTATTAGTTAATCTTAAGTTCTATTAATTCTTGAGTAATATACTATGGTAATATTTACATTTTTTTAATAAAAATTAAAAGAACATGTAATACAAAAGGGGCCCCGTCATCCTCCAGAAAATAAATGAGCCGAACCTTAGAAAACCATAAAGTAAATTTTACAGAAAAATAAAATGACGGAAAATAAAAAAATAGAAAGTAAAATTACAGAAAATAAAATAACTGGAAATTAATGTTCCAGAATTGTTTTCGTATTGAAAAAAAAATGAACATAAAATATGTACACAGAATTTTAGTCCCAGAAAGTTGAAAGCCTGAAACTACTATCACAGAACGTAGTTTTACAGAAAGTGATACCGTGGACCATATAGAACCGCATAGACATTTAGATCCCATTCTAACTATAATCTCCTTCGTCATTTTGGCGGTAATTTTAAAAACTTGTAAAAATACTAATAAATATATTTTAATTTATTCAACTATAAAATAGCATTTATAAGTTAAAAATATTTATAAAATATAAACTATAGAAGTAATACTGTAATAGTGGCAACTAAGTGATGCTTGTAAAATTTCTAATTTTGTCAATTTTAAACATAATTGTATATTTTTATGAATTTTGTTTTAGTTCTGTTTTGTTTTATAAAATTATTTTAAAAAAATGAAAGACGATCACATTGCTATACTAAGACGATTGTGTATTAAATGGTATAGGTTCGCAAACAGTTTTCAAGGGTACATTTTGTTTTAGCACAGCATTTAATCTCAAGTAACAATGTGACATTTATTATATATTTATCATATATTCATATTGTATAATTTAAGGCAACTTTTGGGGTGGGTAGAACTCCCTCGAATTAGTGACTACTGGTTTGAATTCTGCAATTTTAATGCTGACATATTTACATTTTTTCATTAATCTGTTAGTGTGACTATAACTCATATAGTCATATCAATAATTTCATTGGGTGCTCTAGAGAGAAACTTTTGTTTATATAATATATAATATTATATTAATATTATTAGTATACCTGTACATATATACTAGATGTCTCGCCCGGCGTGGACCGTACCAAAGAAATATTATTTAAAAAATAAATGTTCTTATAATATTCAGTATTTTAACATATTATATAAAAACATTTCAAGGTTAATATATTTTGATTTGTATATTTTAGTTTTAATGTTTTGTTAATAGTTTTATCAATAATTTACATAATATTCAATGTATTTTAATATTAATTATTTATATAGATTATATGAACATTAATTACATACAAAATTAGCTTCCATACTCCATAAGCAGGGTTGGGCAAGTTACTTAATTTATTGTAACTGGTTACAAGTTACAAGTTACTCTAAAACTATGTAACTAGTTACAAGATACTATATACTTTGGTGCAATGTAACTGGATACAAGTTACAGTTATGTAACTAAGTTACATTTAAAGTTAAAAGTTACATTGATAAATAAAATATGTTTGTATTTATTAATTTATTATAATTAACACATTTTAAATATTTTTATAACAATACTGTAATAGACAATAGTTAATGATTAATATTAACTTGTGTAAAATATTTTTCACAGATTACAGTAAGTTATAATAAAATAATTTAATGTATTAATCATACTATCTACTTAATAATAAATTAATAAATCACAACAATAGTCAGTTTTCTTATAAAATAGGTACATGCACATGCAAAAAGGTACCTGGTAGGTAATTTAAGTTTTAATAAAGTCAATGGTATTTATAAACTAAGCTGGTACAATTTAAAAAGATAAAATTGAATTGTAATCATGTATTATTTTTTACCATAATTTATAAATTTTAATGAATAAGATTTATTTCCTTTAAGAAAAACTAATTTTTCAAAATTCTGGAATCTATACTTATACAAGCCATATTTTCAATACTTTTAAATAGTGTCCTATGATAATAAAATCTTTTATTTTTCAAATGAGAACACCCCTTTCCTTTTAAATTATTAAGTGGATAATTTTTTTGAAAATGTTAAAGTAAGTAGGTAAGTACCTAATTAAAAATGAGAACTCTTAGTTGCGTTAGTTAATAAAATATTTAGAATCTAGATTCATATTGCGTATAAATTATATAATATTATAGCTACTATAGTAATACTAATAACTAATAAGTAATAAGTAATAACTATTCCCTTATATATGGCGTGTATGGTGTATTATAATAAATAACATGTATAAAATATGTGTAACACGTTAAATCATATAATATCCTGGGTGATTCACACGCGTATACTGCCATTTATTTTGGACTTGTGAAATTTATTTAAGGGCCATATTTTCAAGTATTTACATAGATATTTTACACCATTTAAGGAATGTTCTGTGCAATGGCGTCATTTGTGGGATGGCAAGGTAGGAATTTGCCCCTGGCTGATTTTATAATTTTAAAATCAGCCCAATGGGTTGCCCAGTGGTTTTTATATTATATTAATTAATAGCGCAAAAATATTCTTATATTTATAGAAACATATTAGATTGTGTAGATACCTACTAAGAATTTATTGCAACAAATCATAATGATAAATTGTTAATTACTAATTTATAGTTGGAATATATTTATATTTTGTGTGTGGACGTGCCTAAAAGTTGGTATGTATGCATGTTTTATGAGGAAAAAGGAACATAATATATAAATATGTGCTTGCAAGCGTTTGTTTTTTAAGTTACCTACCCATTTGTGCTGGTATAACTTTTGCCCCTTCTATTCAAAACTGAAATGATATCAACATATTTATTTTTTTTTAACGAGAAACAACCCTTTTTACTACAAATTATTAAGCAAATGATTTTTTCGAATAAAATATATTAATATAACTAGGTAAATAAATAGTATTTTGTACCTACGAGTAGTTTCTGAGTTATTAAAATGTACTAATCATGGCTAAATATATATATATTTAGCTATGGTACTAATAATATAATAAGATTCTAGTCCTGAAAAATGGTTTAACATAAGTTTAAAATATACGTAATATTTAAATTAGTATAGGTTACTAGGTTAGGTATTTAATTAAACAGTTTTTGAAGAGTATAAATATTGATAGATTCGGTAGTAATTACTATAATTTACAAATCATCATAGCCCCTAAATCTTCCAAACCTATAGGCTATAGTATCATGGACTTATCCTTAGTAGTTAGTATATAATAATATAATTCAAAAACTAAGTACCCGGTACTCGTTCAAATTTGGGTTTGAATAGGTACATCGTTTTTAAAAAAACTATCTACATAGGTACCTACATAGTACATACATCAATATACCTACTTTACTAATATAATAGTTTTTTATAATTGTTTGTGTTTTGTGTAATATAAGTACTAAGTAGGTACCAAGTAGATAGGTAGGACCTAATACCTATAATATATTATTATCTAATATGCGTCAGATTGAGTCTATAAATGTTAAAATGTCTATATTTCCATAATGAAATGTAAAAAAGGCACTTAGATCACAATACAACACTGTTCAGGTTAACGCAGGAATTTCAATGGGGGGGGGGGGCTTGAAAATGAATTACTATTTAATTTTAATTTTTTGTCCAGTCTAATAATTGTAGACGTGTAGACGTTTAGGTGAAGTATTTAAAAATGTTTGTACAACTTCAACTTCTCAACTTTTCTAGTAGAAAAAATGCTCTAATCATAAATGTCGATGGAGGTTTTTGGAAGCAAATTGGATCTAGTTTGATATTTGAGAGGCCGAAATTGAAAATTCTCAGTAGTTTTTGAAACAATTGGGAAAACAAAAATAAATGAATAATTGTTTAGTAATCTTGGTTAGACCTCTTCGCTTGGATTGTATTTGATTAATTTTAGGTTTTTTTTCTATAGATGTCAATAAAATTTTATTTGTTATGTCAAAAAGCTTGGAAATTTAATAAAAGACTCTAATATATTTTTAAAATGGCAGTTGAAAAATATTAAAAATCCATTGTCATAATTTTTTTTATAAGCATTTAAATTTCGGATTTAGTCAAAATACGTTAAACATTACGAACATTAAAAAATTATTTCGAGTTAGAAATTCATAAACATTTTTCTTTTTAAATCTAAGATTTCTAAAAATAATACAAGGTACCTCATATGTTCGTCTACCTTTGTCAAAAAAAAATGTCTACCGGAATGTCAAATTAAATTTTAGCTATAGCAACTTGGTGCTTATTGATGAAATGCCCCATAGTACAAGGGCCAACTATCTTACATGAAAGTAAGCCAGTGGGCTAGTCTGTCCCTGCTACATAGTTTAATTGTATTCTATAATATGTTAATATGTACATTATATAGCCTATAGGTTTGTAATAATAATACAATTGATAGATAATAAGCTTTCGTGGTTATTATACTTACTAGTTATACCTAAACTTAAGCTTATAAATTATAATACCTCAAGTTAACAGCTGAGGTCATAGTATAATGTTATATTTTCAATATATATTTTTACCATAATTAAAAGCAGTACCTATCCTGTGTGGTTTTTATTTTTTTAATAACACTATGTATTTCAAGGCGACATAATGGCCTATAGGCTATAGCCACTGAGATAGTTATTTTATTTAATATATTAATATTATATTATTATAATTTATAGGTATACCTAGATTGTTTTGTTTAGTATATAATTTTATTATTCTAATTAATTATATGTTATGTTTTATTTTATGTAAATAC